GCATTTTGGTAACAAACAAACAAGACTATAAATTGGGAATCTATTTTATTCCAGAGGCCACTCCTCCTGTCCTCAAAATTGTTGCTCAGTCCAGGTCATCCCATCAGCTTCCCCAGGGTGAATTTTCTCATTCCCAAATGTTATTCCTTCAAACCTGAGCAGGTAAATGGACTCTCAGGACTTGTAGCCCTGTTCCCTCCATGATTTTAAAACAACACTGGCCAACAGCAAAGGCAAATACATTTTCTGGGCTGGGAAAGCCACGATTTCATGGATTGGGAGGCGCCTCCTCATTAGAGTCAACGAGTTTTTCAAAGTAATCAGAGAGACAGTTTGATTTCCAACCACTTTTGGTGATGAGTGAGAATGAAATAAGTCATTAATGACCTTAATGCATAAAAAACCCCCCCAGGAATAAGAACAGAGCTGGTGCTGATTTCAAGAGAAATAAAAAGGTGTTGCTTCCTCTGCAGAAATCCCAATATCCAGCAGTCCTTGTAGTCTCAAAGGTGGATGGATTTCAGGGGACAGAGAAAGTCAAAGCAAAAAAAAAAAGTAAAAAGCAAAGTCACAAATTGCAAAGTGTAGAATTTTTTTTAGGGGGGGCTTTATAAACTTCACTTCCCGACATCCAAATGTAGTTTCTCTTATTTCAGAGCCTCCTTGCCACAAAATGAAAAGAGAAAAACAATCTAATTAAGCAGGAAAAATAGTGCCACACTGTCTCTACCATCAGCTTTAGAGATAAGCAGAAATCATCCCCCTTTTTTGGCAGCAGAGTGACTGGGTTTTGCCATAGTTTTGCAACGTTTTTGCAATATTCCTCTGCCTAAAGTGCAGGAAACAAAGGGAAAAAATCATTAAATATTTACCAGCCATCCCAAGGCACCTGTACAGGCGCAGTGATGCTCAAATGAGATTTTCCACAAGGCTCACTCCACCTGTCAGGCCTCTCAACTCCTTCCCCAGGACGTGTTCACCCACCCAGAGTTCGTTAAGGATGGAAAAGTTTTTATTTCATTTATTTCATTTATTTTATACCCCCTGAAATAGAACATCATATTTCACCGAGAAGGAACAAGTAAACTTTCCCTGCAAACTGGCCTTAGTGAGGGTTAATAATTAATAATCCCACCTTTTGTGGGATTAAAAGTGGAAAGCTCTTTTTGGGAGATGTTTGCAGGAGTGAAAAAGCAGGAGAACCTGCCCTGCTGGGANGTGAGGGTTAATAATTAATAATCCCACCTTTTGTGGGATTAAAAGTGGAAAGCTCTTTTTGGGAGATGTTTGCAGGAGTGAAAAAGCAGGAGAACCTGCCCTGCTGGGACTGGGAACAGCACAGCTCCTCTTTGATCCCACAGACTCCGGTGAGTTCAGCTGGGATGCAGCCAGTTTTAAAGGATTCATTGATTTATATCACATTTTAACCTTTAAAGGAGCAAAAACTGAGGAAGGTTTTGATTTGAATGTGGTGTCACCTTCCAGGTTGTGACGGATCCGAGTCCCCACCTCAGAGAAGTGCACAGTGGGATCCTTCCCAGGAGCAAAATCCTACATCTTGTGGTCAGTTGTGGAATTATAGAATCCTGGAATGGGTTGGGTTTGGAGGGACCTCAAAGCCCATCCAGTGCCACCCCTGCCATGGGCAGGGACAATTTCCACCAGCCCAGGTTGCTCCAACCTCCCTTGGACACTTCCAGGGATCCAGGGGCAGCCACAGCTTCTCTGGGAATTCTATTCCAGGGCCTCCCCACCCTCCCAGCCAGCAATTCCATCCCAATATCTCACCTAAATTTCCCCTCTTTCGGTGTGATCCCATTTTCCCTGGTCCTGTCACCCCAGTTCCTGCTGACCAATCCCTCTCCAGTTCCTTGTAACCCCTTCAGACCCTGGAAGGTTTTCTGGGATCTCCACACCACCTTCTCTTCTCTCTCCCTGATTTTCTCAGCCTGTCTCCACATGACGACTGATATGAAGCTTTAAATTTACAGCAGTGGCAATATTTTGATTTTTGAAGTATTTTACACGAGTACAGAGGGGTTGAGGAGGGAAAATTTCTTTATGGAAAGGGTTGTCAAGCGTTGGAACGGGTTTTCCAGGATGGAATTCCCAGCCCTGGAGGGATTTCAAAGCCCTGTGGATATGGCATTTGGGGACATGGGGCATTGGTGGCCTTGGAAGTTGCCCTTGGTGGTCTTGGTGGGCTTTTCCAACCTTAAAAATTCCATAATTCCATGAGGTCCCCATATATCGGTGGACAATTATTCATTAAATTTTGTGATGTTTTATGGGGTTTTTTTCTGGTTTCCATGGCAAAAATCCCCCCAGGAATTAGAACAGAGCTGGTGTTGGTTTCAAGGGAAATAAAAAGGTGTTGCTTCCTATGGAGAAATCCCAATATCCAGGAGTGGCTCAGGAGGCAGAAACCAAAAGGAAAAAATCAAATTATTTTGCTTTCAGAACGGATAAAAAATTGGAGCTTCTCTATTGCTCCTGTTTGGGTGGGTGGAGAAAAGGGAAATAATTCAAAGAGTGACAGAATTCGATGCAAATTTATGGCTGGTTTGGGTAATTGTGAATTTTAATCCTTAATTATTGCAATTATTTGCTGAAGCCTCTCTGTTCCTGCAGTTGTTTATCCAAAGACAAGGTGTAATTGGGAATATTTATACAGCAGCTCATTGTAGGGAATCAGAAATCATTCTGGAATCTCAGGAATTTCAGTATTTTGCCTCCTAAGCCGCTCCTGGATATTGGGATTTTTCCCACATTCTTTTTTTCCCTTGCAATCAACACCAGCTCTGTTCTAATTCCTATTTTTTTTTTTGCCATGGAAGTCAGAAAACCCCACAAAACATCACAAAATTGTCACTTATTTGGAC